TGAGTACGAGTGTGAGTATGAGTATGAGTATGAGTATGAGTATGAGTGTACCTTTATAATGAAGATATGTTTTATTTTATCAACAACATACAGAAGAGAGGGCCAAACTTCTACATGATGGACTGATCAGGTCAATTCTAAAATAATAATAATAATAATAGTAATAATAAAATAAAATAGATTTCAGGACAATAAGTGATTGTGAACTGTTTAACTGTGCCTGCAGCTGAAAGCAGTGATGTGCACGTGTGTTTGCACTGGAAGTTTCAGGAAGTATTGCAGCTACTTCACATTAACTGTTGGATACAATCAATTTCAAGATGGTCGACGCAGCTAATCAGCATGAGCGACCATAACTCAGCCTAGAGCTGAGAGTCATCCGCAGCTGAGCGCCATCATCATTTAAAGATGAGCTAAACTCCAGGCGGCGGGCGATATGCATTCCTTCAAGGCATTTTACACTTTTGGTTATGAGTGTCTTCAATCGCCTGTCCCAGGAACCATGAAGCACCTGCAAGCCCATCAGAGGAACAACAACACTCAAGCTCTCAGGATGTTTCTGATGACTCGGCGGAGGACAGGATTGCGTCACCGGCAGACGCTGACGTCATTGTATTTGTTAATAACACGCAGGCGATGCGGCTGATCGACAGTCACCCCAAGGCCTTACGGTGTACACAAAGACCTGGAGCCGCGCGCGCGCACACACACACACGCGCGCACGCGCGCATCCCGGACAGCAGGCCGGGTCCTGCCTCCTGCAGGAGCCGCAGTGTGGATGCTGCTGCTGCCATCCATCACCAACACGCACCCACACGCAGCCTCCTCCTCCGGCCTGCTCCATCCGTCTCGAGCCTACCTTTCACATGAACGTCCACGCGGGCATTAATCCATGATCCGCGGCGCGCGCTCCGCTCCGCCTCAGGGTCGCGTTTGTCCCGGCGCTGCGGCGCAGAAAGGGCGAGAAGAAGAAGAAAGAGGAGGCAGCCGCGCGTCCTGTCCGTGAGGAGGAGGTGCGCGCACTGAACCCATCCGGAACCAGGAGCAGTCCAGAACTCTCCTCCTGCCTCTGCGGAGCCCTCAGCGTCAAGATACACAGAGCCTCGACTCGGTTTTCTGTCGCCTAGTCCTCCATGACAGAGCGGCTCTTTCTGTCCAGTAATTTCTCCTGCACACGCGCACACGCACGCGCGCAGAACGGAGAAGAGCGGAGCGGCTTGTATTTAAAGAGATAGGGGCAGGGCAGTCAGGAGGGCTCTTATGCAACAGCAGCTGCAGCTTCTATTGGTCCTTGTTTCCAGAACCACAGCACCACACAAGCAGCTTCTGAACAAGAACCAGATCGCGTGGTTCTGATTGTAAAGACCAGGGACTAGAAAAACAGTTCCTGAAGGCAGAAATGTTGCAGTTTCTGTGGACTCTACCGGGAAACCCAAAGAAACCACATACATGTAGTTTTTGTCCAGTTCATGGAACTAGGGAACCAAATTAATTGTTACAGACTTTACAGAACCAGGGACCCCGAGGAACCGGGCAACAGGGGGCAATGGACTCTGCAACATGCGGGGGACACCCTGGACATGCCTCCAGTCCATCACAGGGACACATAGAGACAAATGAGACAGACAACCATTCACACTCTCACTCTCTCCTAGGGCCAATTTAGAGTTCTGCTTTCTAGAAATATGGCTGATTTTGTTTATCCCCCAAATTATTGACAACCCAGGGTCCAGTCCAGGAAGCAGAGTTGTAGTCCTCCACCCCTCTCTGCTGCTTCTCCTCTGTTACTCACCCACACCCCCATTGAAACAGTGTCAACTCGCCCACGGCTCAAATTAAATAAACCAAAAATCAGCTCTAAAAATATAAACCATAAAAATCTGATTAAAATAAACACAGTTACTTTACCAGAGCAAAATCATAAAATCATTAAATGTGGATTATTGAACATCAGATCTCTTTCCTCTAAATCCCTGTTAGTTAATGAACTGATAACTGATCATCATATTGATTTATTCTGTCTGACAGAAACTTGGCTACAACAGGAGGATTTTGTTGGTATAAATGAATCCACTCCTGTTAATTATTTAAATTTTCATGTTCCTAGAACGGCAGCACGGTGGCACAACTGGTAGAGCTGCTGCCTCTCAGCGAGCAGGTCCCTGGTTCAAACCCCGGTCCAGGGGCCTTTCTGGGTGGAGTTTGCATGTTCTCTCCGTGCATGCGTGGGTTTTCTCCGGGTACTCCGGTTTCCTCCCACAGTCCAAAAACATGCATGTTAGGCTGATTGGTAACTCTAAATTGTCCCTAGGTGTGAGTGAGAGAGTGAATGGTTGTTTGTCTCGTTTGTCTCTGTGTGGCCCTGTGATGGACTTGCGAAACTGGCATTCTTGGCCGCTCACCTCCGGTTGTAGAACTTTGGTTATGTATTGTAACCCCAGATTCTATGAGTATAAGCGTAGCCCTTTAAGGCTGTCGCTGATGGGTTTATCCCGTTATGCGAAGCATTACATTGAAAAATTTAGTCCACGCCCACCTGTTGTGTGGGCCCCACCCGGTCCATATAAATTACGTTAAGAGCGGGTAATCTGCTCCCAAATAACTTTTCTTCAGCCATTTAGGAGCCAGTGAGGCCCGACGCTTAAAGGGCTACGCTTATATTCATAGAATCTGGGGTTACAATACGTAACCAACGTTCTATTTTGTATAAGCTTCGCCCTTTAAGGCTGTCGCTGATAGGTTAAGGGCAAACCAGATGTGGTCCTCGCCTCACTGGGTCCATTCGAACACCGAATGAAGCAGAAGCTTGCCCAAAAAACGTCTTGTCACTCAGCTCCCCATGTGCGTAATTACGCATTGTGTAATTATGTGTGCAATGCACAGACGCATAGTTACACAATGTAACTATGCGTTCTGAATGCATGAACACCCCGGAAAATTTCAACGGGAAGGGAAAATATGCTGAAAAGAGCCATGAACCAACCGGTTATGGCTGAACAGTATGAACAGATTAATAATAACAGGAGAACTGATTATTAATCAAATGAACTGATTGGTAACAGTAGTCATGAACTGATTAGTGACAATAGAACCAAAATAACAATCACAACTTGTGACTGATAACAACATCTCCCACTGTAATGCATGCAGACAGATGTGAATTAAACGGAGTTCCATGAAACAACAATATTCATTCTGTAAAACACTAAGGACAGAATGTGTCATGGGACAAGCCGTCACATCACATAGATAAAAGCGAATGAATGAGCAGGGTGTTGACCACGCGGCCGCAGTGCAAATATCCTGCATTGTTATACCATTATGGAAAGCAGTCGAAGACGCAACACCCCTGATCGAGTGTGCCCTGAGGTTGCCAGGAGGCTCTAAATCTGATGCTCTGTAGGCTTCAGAAATGGCATCACACAGCCAGTGTGACAGGTGCGGGGTGGATAACGGGCGACCTGCAGGTGCATCTCTATAAGGCACAACAAATGTTGAATTTGACGCATTGCAGCTGTGCGTGCTATGTAACACATCAACGCCCGCACCGGACAGAGAAGATGGAAAAATGCTTCTTCTTCTGATTTGTGGGGGGAAGGGAAAGCCCCTCCAACGATATCACCCTTGATTTAAAAGAGCTTGTGATGTTTTAGGCATAAAGCTGGATTTGGTCTCATATCAGCTGAGCTGCCATCAGCCTGATTCTGAGACATGATGGAGCAACAGAGAAGACAAATAATCACTCACCCTCAGCGGATGTCAAAGACAACAGTAGGGCTGTTTTAAGAGACAAGAATTTAAGTGGAACCTGATCCAGAGGCTCAAATGGAGATTTGATCAGGGCTCGCAGGATCAGCGTTAAAAACCCACTGTGGAGCAAGTAGGTGTGAAACAGGCCTGCGTCTCTGTACACCTTTTAGAAAACGCTTCATTAGCAGATGATTAAAAGCTGTTCTGTCTCCAAGCCCTTTGTGGCAGGCAGAGATGGCTGCAGCATACGTTTTAATCGTGCCGGACACCAAATTTCTGTACATCAGCTGTTGCAGAAAGGACAGCACGCCACCTAGTGGACATGAGATGGCCTCTACACCTTTCTCTGTACACCAGCGCTGAAAAGCTGTTCACTTTGATGTGTACAGCGCTGTGGTAGATGCAGCACGTGAATCCTGGATTGTGCGCACTATATCCTGTGGGAGACCCATCCTCTCTAAGCGGATCCGCTCAGCGGCCAGACCACAGGTGCTGGCCTATTTCTGGGTAACTCCTGATCGCTCCTCCTGCCTGGAGGAGAGCATCCTCCCTCCATGGCAGTTCCCACGGGCGCCCCGACAGCAGGCGTTGCAGGACTGGGAACCATGGTGCATTCACGCGCTTGGGGGCCACCAGGAGAGCTGTCAATCCCTCCTCCTGAACTCGGTTCAGGAACCGTAAAATCAGAGGAGATGGAGGAAATGCGTACAGAAGCGTTTTGAGCCATGGGCTGTGGGCAAACGCATCCGCCCCCAGTGGTGGTTCGTCTCGCGGATTCAGAGAAAACCATAGTTGACACTGAGCATTTTCTCGTGTCGCAATTAGGTCCACAGCTGCTTTGCCAAATTTCTGCCACATCTGAGTCATCAGGTCTGGATGGAGAGTCCAGTCCCCGTGACGTGGACCACCCCTGGCCATCACATCTGCCCCTTTGTTCAGAATACCGGGTATGTAAACTGCTCTGATGGAGAGCAGATTTTGGCGAGCCCAACACAGTAGCTTTCGCGCAATGTGTAACATCTGGGCTGAGCGCACACACCCCTGCCAGTTTATGTACGCAACAGTCACCTTGTTGTCTGTGTGAATCAAAACGTGTTGATTCTGCAGCACAGGAGCAAAGTGTTGAATCACGTTCAGCACCGTGCGACACTCCAAAGTCCGTGAAGACTGGCACGTGTGACGTGGGTCTGCTGACGGGGGCTCCCTCCGACAGAACCAGGGTGTTTCCCCAGTGTTGGAGGTCTGCCCTCACGGAGGGAGGAACAGTGATCATCCGTCTCTTTTGTTTTACTGGGTCCACACGCAGACGCGCAAACCACCTCTGGAGGCGTCTCATGTGTAATAAACCCAGCGGGACAACTGTGTGAGCTGATGACATCGTTCCTAAAAGCTTCATGATGGAAACAGCTGTTACCACTCTGCCAGGTCTTACGTGACGGAGCTGGTCTTTTAAAGTGTTGATTCTCGTTTGTGATAAACGAGCCCTCATGGTAGTTGAGTTTAGCTCCACTCCCAGAAAAACAATTGTCTGGGCCGGGAAAATAGAGCTTTTCTTCCAATTTATGGCGAATCCCAGATTTAAAAGGTGTGATGTCAACACCTGAGCCTGCATCGCTGCTTCCTGTCTGGAGTGTGACAGCAGCAGCAGGTCGTCCAGGTAAAACAAAACTCTCATCCCTGCTCTGTGTAACAGATGCAGGGCTGTCTCCACACACTTTGAGAACGTAAGAGGCGTGAGGGAATAACCAAACGGCAGCCTGTTGTACTGATACTTCATCCCTTGAAAGGAGAAACGCAGGAATTTTCTGTGTTTTGGGATGATCAGTATGTGAAAATAAGCATCTTTCAGGTCGATGGAAAACAGACCAGTAGATTCTCTGGATGTTGTCCAACAGCTGTCTGGTTGTCAACATATGAAACAGTCTGTCCATGATCGCCTTGCCAAAAACTGACAGATCCAAAAAAGGGTCTCGTTCCTCCGGTCCGTTTGGGAACCAGGAAGTAACGTGAGTAAAACCCTGTGTTTTCCTCTCCATTGGGAACTCTGGAGATTACTTCTTTTATCAGAAGCTCTTGGACTTCTGCATTTAGGGATGAGATTTGGTCTGGTGATGACAGGATCGTCTCTAAAATTCCTCCGAACGGAGGGGGTCGGGTTGCAAACTGCAACGTGTAACCTTTGCATAACACCCTGGCCATCCATCTGTCTGGCGAGCATGTTTTTAGCCACTCCGTGTAACGTTTGTGGAGTGGACGTGCATTTAAGTGATGTGTCATGTTTTGTACAGATGTCATCCAGTCCGCCACCTCGACCGCCGTCATGTGTCACGGGAATGTTTTCCGTGTGACCCAAGCCGAGGCTTCCTCGAAAAGGCTCTGAATGCGCCCGTGT